TTGGCTATAAGTTCTTGCCAAATTCATCTTTGCTCCGTGCCAAGGCGTATCCAACTGGCATGATGACGGCTGATTATGACAGGCAGCATAAGCAGTTAAGCGCCCATGAATAGGTTTGTGGGTTCTAGCATGGCAGGTATGCAAGCCGAATCAAAGAGGCTGGCTGATTCCCATCAAGGGGGACAGCTACTTCTGAATTCTACCAACAAATAACGCTATGCAAGAACAGTCCATCTCTTTGTTGTCGAACCCTGCCTACCCAGCACACATCCTGACCAGGGATGGGGGCGTAGATCGGAAAGCCTTCACTAATCCGTTCCTCACTCCTCTTCTACATCATTTAGTAGATCACAAGCCCCAACCACCCGAATATTTTCTATAAGCTATCGCCTCGCCAGTTTGGCAGCAATCCGTGGTGGCTTTCTCTATGCCTCGGCAAGTCCACTATGACTTACTAGTTTATCTAGTTACTAGTTCTTCGGGTTGTCGAGCAGTGATCACGGGCTAGACTGTGATGGGATGACCAATCTTTGTTTGGCTTTATGCCTACTCCTGCTCAGGAATCAGTGCGATGATGCGCGCCCAAGTCCACAACGCACCCGGGATTGGAGCAAGTTAAAGCCGGAAAGTGCCAAGCTGGATTTCATGGAACTGCTGAAACAACATAGTCTTGTCCTGCGGGAATGTAGAAAAAGCAAAACGAAGATACAAATTAGCAGTTGTTGTCAATGTTTGCGGGCACAAGCCATCTCTCCCCTCTGTCTGAAAGCACTGCGACACGATATCTGCTGTCGAGTTGGTTGGGCAGACAGCTGCGGTCAAGTTTATGCACCGACAGAACCAAAAGCAATCGTGCTCAAAAAATGAAAGGAATGCCTGACATTCAGCCTAAGCCCAACAGCCTGAAGCTTCAAAGCAAAGCTTTAGATCTAAGCTCAAGCATCCTACACTCGATAGATTTGCTAAAGCAGAAGAAAACCCAACATGACCCTGGCCCCGCCACATCCTAACCGGCTGACATGTTTTTAAAGGGCTTCTTGCCTAAACATTCATGCTAATTTCTGAAAATCTCCGGCACTGAGCACCAAACCGCAGTAGCAGTAGCAGACTCTGTACGCTGCCGGCCTGGGACTTGTTGCTAACTGACGTTGTCAAACTTGTTTTCAGTCTTGGGGCGAGATGGTAACCTTCAGGCAGAAAAACAATGACCTAATGTTCTGGCCAACACTTCCTCATCCAAATTTGCTATACGATCAGCGTGCTGCGCATAGAAGTGCTTATGAGCTTGGCACCTCCCGAAGATGACCTGGTTCCACCTGCGCAGTGGTTGGGAGCACAAGGTTTGGTCTGGCCATGGTGAAATCAAAGCATGGCCTCATCACGCGGCCGCTGTCAAGGACCAAGGAAGCTCGAGTTGGCGGCAAGTTGAAGACGTCCAGGCCTTCGCAAGAAACCCCTCACAGCACTTCACATTCGGTGCACAAGGACTGCACAAGCACTCAAGGCAAGCTGCTGTTCTGGTCTGCGAATCGGCTTCCGCAGCGCGTGTAGTCATCCACAACTCTGATGTACTCCTGCCAGATGTCAACATCTACCAACGTCCACGCTTAAACCGGCGCAGCGATGCACTTGAGACTGAAGAGTCACTCTTCGATGCTTGACAACCATTGGCCTATTCTGATCAGAGCATGTTGTACTGTGTTGCTCGGGCGCGTGAAAAATTGTCTTGATCGGGTAAGAGCATCCCGGATAGAAGCATGCTGCTGACAGCTAGCGTCGGTCCCTGCCATTGAAGCCAATGCCATTGAAGTCGATGTTGTAGGCCGTGCTGTTGCGGGGAAACTGGCATCGTCGGTTGTGCACACATGCAGACTATGTCAGCCTACCGTTGCAGATGCGGAGAGCCTTTGAGACCTTGCTTGACGCTTTGCGTCTTCGCGAAATCGATTGAAACCGCCTGCACTAGCAGGCCCCGCACGTCGAACAGGTCGCACTCGCCCAGGCTGCGTCTTCCAGCACGTGAGGGAGGCTGTAAACCCCGCTTTGGCAGAAACCCCACCTTCAAAGGCGCAAAAGGCTTTTGGCATCGCAATTAATCTACAAACGAACAGCTCCGGTTGCACCGGTGGATCTAAGCTCTGGTCACACAAAGCCTCAAAGAACACTAAGGGCCACCCCAGGACATCCTTGAGCTGTCCATCGGAGCTTTCACTTCTGGACGGCGCTGGAGCTCATCATCACCCGCCTGGCCTCGCCCTCAGCCTGACTCCCAGTACACTTTGGGTTTGACCGAAGATGGCCGGGTTCTGCCGAAACATTTGAAAGTTCTGTAAGGACCCACCACTGCCCCCGAACTTGACACGTCTTTGTTTCTGGGTCAAGGTTTCTCAGGCTTGGCCTGCAGGCTGCGAGTATTGAATGCCGGCGCTGGCGGGTGTCTATGCAAGCAGGGTTCTGGGAGACATTGATGAACGCCTCCATAGCAACAACACAGACTCGCTGCCTCCTATTATATTGGGGCTCTTCCTGCCAAACACCCCTGAGTACTAACGCATGTTGGGATCGCACGAGAAATCGAATCTGGGCCGTCTGCGCACCTATTATGGGAGTCTAGATACACCGCGCCGGCTTCCGAGCACTTAGTAAGAGGAGCATTGCAAAACTCTTGCAGGCCATGACCTATAGTCCCCCTTAAGTAGATAGAATATGGCTTTGGGTATATTGTATTAAGATCCCCATATACCCTATATTCTATCTACTTAAGGGGGACTATAGCTCCACCTTGCGCCAGGAAACTGTTCATGGCAATCACTGGCCTTCTAAGCTTGGTCTGGCAATATGGCTCTCTGGCAGGCGTTGCGAGAAGGGAGGGCTTTGTAAAGACCTGCGAGTGACTTAGGTCGTGGTCCCCAGTTTTGCAATGGGCATTAGCTTAGCTGAATCTGAAACTTGAAATTTCTGATTCCTGAACTTTGGCGGTGGTCATAGTGGCACTGTAATTACATGATATAAGCATGCACTACACTAAGCATTTAATCTGCCAGGCCCGCAAAGCCTTGAGAACCTGTTGTACATAATCTACTTGGTCAAATTGTTGCTCCCAACAGAGCCGCTGAGGCCCCAGGCTGCACGATAGGGGCAATGACTCGTCAGTAATAAGAAGAAGAAGAAAGTAACAATAGTCATAACAATGATATCAATAACAAAAATATGAAAAACAAGCGCCGCCGACCCACTCAACCAAGGCCAAGGCGCAGATCTTAGCCCTAAGTAGCTTACAATAATCCTCATACCTTACATAGACCCCCACCCTGTAACAGTGGCATACTAGGAATATCAGAGGACCCCAATATGGCTACCATTATCCCTTATGGGGGGGGGGGGTCCACCTAACTCATATCGTTCATGAGCCCTGTAAATGCCTGCAATGCATGATCCTAAACCCCTAAACCTTAAACCCCCCCTCTCCCTCCCCCCCCCCACACGAACCCACAAATTCCTTTTTCAAGGAACTGACAGCTTGGGAAGGCCGGACACGGAGCCGTCCTTGTACTGTTTGCCTTGGCTCAACTCTTGTTTGAGATATTATCGGGACAATATAGGGATATATAGGGATATATAGTAATATAGGGTTTAGTAGGGTAATATAGGGTCGTATAGGGTAAAATAGGACTATATTGCAATAGGGTATATAAGGGCTATATAGGGTAGAATATTGGGATTCCATTGGGAATGATGGAAAAGAAAATGGAAACGACTACAGCACAATAGGGTATATATTGGGATATATTACATTCTAGGTCTGGCAACATTCAGAGAATCCCGTCAATCCCCCCAAACCACGGATGGTAGTGGGGAGCTTTTGTGAAAGTGTCCTGCTCCAAGCGCTCCTGAATATGATCCGTCTCAGAGCCAAAGCAAAACCTAGATCAAGAAGTATACCCCAATATATGCCCGAGAATAATGTAGTAGTATCCATTTTCTTTTCACAAAATTATCCCAATATTAACTACCCTTCCTATCTTCCCTAACATCGAACTGCTAGCCCAAGCGCTGGCGACTTGTCCCTGGCTGAGGTAGCAGGCGAAGTCGTGGGCCTCCGCGGACCAGTCCACCCACTTCCTGGGGTTAAACGGCGCGGGTAAGGATTTTGAGATTTCTTAAGGCACCTTTTCGCCTGCATCCATACAAAACGACTTGGGGTTTAAGATTTAGGGTTGAGCGTTCCGAGCGTAGTGTTTAGGGCGTGTTGGGGATTTGTGGTTCAGAGTTCGGGGCATTGAGTCTCGGATAGAATGTCTAGCATTTAAGGCTTCGTTTCAGCATGCAGAGAGGCTCAGGTGAGTCATATGGAACTTTGCTTCCTGAGCGAGTGAGGAACCAGTAGCTTTCGAGAAGTTCGAGAGTAGGAAGTGCAAGAGCATCTTCTGGCATATTCCGGCTGTGCTAATCAACATGCACGAGGACCCGTGTAAATCTCCGTCCCTTCTTCACGTGAAAGTTTCCCAGTCAAGTCACAAAACGTATCGAAGTGGAATTTCAAAATTGAGGGGGGCGGTGTTTGACACAAAGGATTCACAAGGATTTTGGCCGGAGTGCAATTCCACATTGTGACACCACGGTGATGTTTAGGGTCATGAACTTAGGCTGTGATGGCCTCGAAGCAGATTCAAGGAAAAACCAGATAGCAGAAAATTGCGTATGGAAGTGAAGCAAACCAGAACGCATCTAACTTATCTCAAGCTGACTTATAGGTAGTGAACGCTGACCACACAGGCTTTCTCTTTGTTGTGCTTGGCAACCGTCAAGTCGCCATGAACACTTTCTCTCCATAAGCCCTATCATCACTCACAACTGAAGGGGGCCATCCATTCAGTCCAGACGAGGTCAACCGTTCGCAGAACCCTTGGGAAACTGTCTGGCGTTTGGTGCTTTTCATCGAAGTTTGCCAAAAATTGTCATGCATGCACCCCTGAAGGCCACTCTTAGAGAAAAGCTTCCAGGCTTTGCACTGCCCTTGCTGCTGACACAGCTGGCAGCAGACACGCGGGTCCTCCCGGGTCGAACAGCACAACAGCTTGCAGCAAAATAGCATTTCAAAGCAGAGCGTTATGATCTAGGAGGATAGAGGGCTGACTCCAAGCTTTGCGGAGAGACGAACAGCCAGGCAGCGCGTGTCCTGGATACCTTTTCTCATCCTGGGATCAAGCAGCGGGGTTTGCCAGGACTGGTTCTCTGTGCATTGGGCAGCGGGCACAGTTCCCAGCAAGTTTGTGGAGAAGTTCTGAGCGCGAAAGAGTGGAACGCATAGCATGCCTGTCTAGTACCCTTTCGAGGTTTGCATCGAAGCCTATTTCTTTTTTGCTACAGGATGCTGCCCTAGCATTACTACGCACAAGCCCCGCTCGGAACTAGCGCAAGTCTCCCTGCGAACTACAAGGCACGACCACCACAACCACAACATCACCAGAACCACCTTCGACTTGTAGCACTGCAAGTCTAACCCAAAATTAGCCTGCCAAGGCGCTGGTACCAGCCCCCAGCGACCGCGTACTCGGTCTGTGGCTCCAGCAGACAGGAGTCGGAGCCCTGGGCGCGGTCCAGCCTCTCAGCGGAAGGGGTTCATCTACTCTTAGGCCTGAATGTAATAAGGTAGAAAACTTTTCGAGGACTAGGACGTTGAAGAATTCGATAAGGCGATGGCTTCTTTCGAAGGTATTTTATGCAAGATGAACCCTCAAGGCAAAAGCGGCTCAGAGCCAATGTCGCGTGCCGGACTAGAAGTTTGGCCATCGGGGGCGGGTCATACTGAAAAGTCCTAGTTGCAATCTGGAGAGAAAGATGCAGCCATTGAATGGAAAACATGCTATAGCAAAACTAGCGAAATGTTACTGGCACTAGCATGATCTTCTGATATTCAGTCGCTCACAGCTTCATGGCTGCTCAGCTGTCATAGCGGCCCCAAGAAGATTCTGCTGTTACCAACGACACTATCTGCGGTATCTCTTGCCACTAAAAAGACAAACAGCAGCATCGTGAGGACACCATGAGGGGGGGACTTTTTTGAAAATCTGCTATGCTCTGCTTCACAAGACATGGTCTCTCAGCCCCGCACACTTCGACGGAGAACTTGGAGCCATCCTGCATACTGGGCGTAGCAGGTCATTAGCACGGAGGTTTCTTAAACTCGGCTTGCCCTGAGTGTCAAGGATTTGCTGTGCAGGATTTAGGATCTTGGATGAGGTTTCTCAAGATGCAGAAATGCACAGGGACCAGAATATGTCTGGATATTACAAGGGGTCCCCTTGCGGATGAGACACACCTTCAGAAACTCACATTACCCTAAAAATCAATGGACATAAACCGAAAAAGAGTAGCAACATGCTTGCACAAGAAGGGAAGAACACAAAAAGAAGAATGATCAGAGATATCAGAGCAGTGGAAGCAGACTCAGGGACATAGCAAAGCTAACAGAAGGCTGCATTCTCAATCTTCCCACCAGCTCACACAAAATTGCCTGTGCAGGAGACTTCTTGAACATGATGAAGGAGACTGTGAGACAGAGAGAGAGAGAGAGAGAGAGAGAGATTCCAAAACCGGGAGATCCCGGCTTTTCCCATCGTCATAGCCACAGCAAGCAAGTGAAGGTTATTGAAGGTTGGTCATGACCTGCCTTCATGGGCCCCGTCTGTGTCGGCCCATCCACATTGGGCAAATTTGGGATGCCGCAAGGACGGGGGCCTTGCAGGCTTAAGCGCTTGGAGCTGAGTTTGCCTTTAGGCTTTGTTCAGGATTGGGCCGCTTGAGTATTCCTGTTGGTCATTGCTGGGTTTAGGGCTTGCACCTGCTAGACTTTCAGGGGCTTCATGCGGTTGGACTCGGATTGGGTGTTGACTTTCATGTCTACATGATTCTGCATGGTGCACATATCAGCTGTCAAGTCGAATCAGTCTCACAGTACATCGTTGTTGTGGGAGACACAACGCACAAATGACTTCAAGGGAGTATTAACTCGCTGCCTAAAAACTCGAAACACAACACTGGCACCTGCATGGGAAGCACATGGCCTTGAAACACTACCAATGAGGCAGACCCCTGCAGCCACGGCACTGACCACAACCAAGACCACGACCAGCACTCATAGTTAGTAACTACTTGTTATCAACCTCGAATGTTCGGAATCACAAGCTCCGCACAGCTCACCAGGGCCCCCCGCACTTCCCTGGGTTTTCCATGTAGACCTTCGCTTGAAACTTGGCCACGCTGGAGCTGGGCTCAAGGCCTTGATACCACCTGAGCTCATCATCCTAGCTTTGAAACATGGAAAAGGGGGGACTACAAAGAGGACCAGGCCCATGGAGCTTCCTCTGTGAATCTGTTTCCGGGGAAATTCACTTGTTTACTTCAGTGACCTGGGCTGAAGCTGCAAGACGCGATAAAGAGAAAAGGGGGTTTAGGGTTTAGGGTTTAGGGGGGGAGTTCTTAGCTTCAGCAGGGCTCGGGTCCTGGGTTTACGGTCTCCTCCCAAAGATAGTCTAGTTCTAGACCTCTTTGGGTCGCCAGAAGAGGAGCCCATAATTTGAGCAACCATTATACCGCAGTGTCCAAACTTTAGGGGCTTTTTGAAGTCCCTGTACAAAAGATTATGGTATTTTGGGTTGCCCCCCTATCTCTATCTCTGGAAGCACTCATGTGTATAGTATATGTCCCCAGGACACCACCTCATTTACATTTGACACATCTTGATAGTGGCCAAAGAAAAGCGCGGTGCGTCAGACATGCCAAATTACTGATATTAAGAATACAAGCAATTGCAACCGCACTACCGGGAATGGTATGTAAGAAAGTAATCTCCCAAACTGCTGCATCCAGCCAACTACCCATGAGGCTTGATAATTGCTAGACTCAACACCTACCAAAGAAATTCTCAGCATGCTGCTTCAGATCCGATAGCACCGTGAATTTACATAAGGATGTTCCGTTGGCGGATCCAGAAGGGGCAACCTATCTGGCATCAGCATTGTTGAAGTTCTAGTCTGGGACCCACGCTCTGGGTGCTCGTAGATACCCTGGGACATTGCCCAGTGCACCTCCTCCCAGCATTTCCCATCTCCTGCATTACACGCTGCTGTGTCTGGGAAAAACCTTCTCAACCCAAAAACACGCAGCACCACTGGAGCATCACATGATGTTGAACCAGGCCAAGTCCTTCTGCCGCAGTGTGGCAGTTCGCGTCCAGAGACTTCATCTGAGCCTGAAGGGACGAAACTTTGTGTCTTCAGGTGTTTCTGGAAATTACCAGATCAAGCTGGTGCCAGCGTCCACTGCTTCTTGATTCAAGTACACAATCGGCAAGCTCGCACCTTGGGAGCTGCAGCGGCCTGCCAAGGAACATGTGAGCCATTGTCAAAACTCTTAGTATCCCCCTTAATAACCTCTATAGTAGTCCCCCATATAATCCCCTATATAACCCCCCTTTAAGGAGTTTAGAATATGGTACATGTGCTAAGAGCGCTTGTAGAAGCCAATGGCGCAAGGAAGCTCGAACTGAACAATCAGGGCCGTGTGTGACAGGCCGCTCCGTCGCATCGCACATCCGAGCAAATAATACAATTTGAAGTACTATAAGCAGATCCCCCGAGCTGTCCCAGTGAAAGCACAATTGTTCATCAGAGCACTGAGTCAGCCTAGCCAAGATCTTTACCCACAGACCCCCCGTAGAAGTCCTGCACTTTGGGCGGTCGCGGCCCCACACTGATGATGGCCGAGATGGCCTGCAGACTGTGCTGAGGACCACCATGAGCGAGTGGGCGCCAAGCAAGAAGCGACAGGAATAGCAAGCGGTATTCAAGGCGCACAAGTGCTGGTGCTAAGGCTGAAGGTGGGGGTGGGATCGTGCTGACACTAGATGACGCGAGTAGGCATACACAAGAACTTCCGCCGATGTGGGCGTAAGCGGCCATCATAGTTGTCGATCGCTACGACATAAGCAAAACCCATCAGCAAGTGACTGCCACTGCTGCCATACAATGGTAGTCAAACCGAAAAAAAGTGCTGAACTACGAGGCGTCAACCGACTTGAGTTTCTATCCTATGTATCAGGACAAGACACCATCTTAGCCAACAAGTCAATATAGCCTCTACTAACACAAGGATAATGACAGGCACCCTCTAGCCCACAAAAAATGCAGGAGCTGCACCAATCATGAGACAGTCCAGTCCATGCCATTTGGATGACAATATAGAGGTAGCAACTGGGGTTGGAGCGTGGTGGTCACTGCCACCAGACCCAATGTCCTTGGTCTCCACCACATCGTCCTTCAAAGAGGGCAACTTTCTGAAGCACAGGTCTGCCTGTTGATGTTCTCGCGTTCGGAAACCCTTGGGATCCAAGCTGAGCCTCTTCTCTGAAACATGCTGCGCAATTAGCCTTGGGTCCCCAACTTCCCAGCTGCGACGAGTCTCGCACGAAACACCTTTCTGGACCAGAGTGAAGTGCGAGCGGTCTTACTTACATCCAAAGCACCTAGAGTGATTTTCGAATCGCCAACAGCAGCGGGGCTAGCGGAAATAAAGAACCGTCCGATACGCTAGTGAGGCTCCGGTTCCTGATGCGCCAGATTGGCAAAGATGTTGTCCACACCGCCGAATGACTGCGAGTTGTACCTGTCGGAACCCAACAGCGCATCCAGACGCACCCTTCCTCAATTGCCATTGATACGTATACCTCCTCCAGTCTGAGATCCAAAGCCCCATACGTGTTGCTTCTGTGCCAAGGGATACTTCATGCTTGGGAACAACAGTCAAGAATGCTAGCATGCGAGCAATACAACCTTCCTTGCATTCTTCATCCTCTAGATGTCACTGTTTCTGCAGCGTAAACATACTGCTTCAGCGAATGACCTGCTTCATCATCTATATGTTTACATGAGAGTGAAAATAGCTGCTGTGCTGCTCAGCGAGCGTACCCAAATCCTCGGAACCTTCGACCCCAGCAACGCAGGCTACCCCCAGGCCCAAAGATGTACCTGTGGTTAGTAGGGAATGAGCCATGAAATCCCCATATAGTCACCATATAACCCCCATATAATATATTCCCGTCTTCCCTACACATTTCTGGTAAGAAGAAGGCCAAGCCAACTGCACGCCAAGGTACACGTGATGAAGATGCGGCCACATGGCCTGCTCTTTCTGTGGATTTCTCCAACATCTGTGACAAGTTACCATTGTGCCAATCAATTGTTTGAAACTGGCACTGGTGCTGGACAAGATAGCCAGCCCTTATGTAAACCATCACGAGTGGACTATGCAGCAGCAAGCACTAGGCAAGCGGCTGCGTTGGTGCGCCCCTGCAGCCGAGTATCCCTAGCATTATGCGACGTTACTCCAATATTGGTTTGGCTTGGCCAAATCCACAAAACATCCAAAAAATATCCCATGTTTTGCAGCGCCTGCACCGTCCGCGATGCCGCGTTGGCGTTGAAGTCTCCAACAAGGACCAGAGTGTCGCCCACCTTGCCCCACGCAATTGTCTAGGGCCTTAGACCCTAAAAGCTGGGCTTACGAATTAGTCTGCCCAAAACTCCACACATGACATGCCCGGATATGCTCCTTGGTACATTGTTACAATGCGGCTTCATTTTTTGTGCCCTTTGGCCCTTTGAGGCAGGCAGAACCTATTGATGGCTTCCGAGAAAGGGGACCCAGAAGACGCAGCAGAACATGAGCATACCATTTAAGAAAAAGGGGAGGCCCACAGTGTCGCAAAATCCCGCTCTGGTCTTTTGAACTCAACTGTGGAAGGTGGCCTTATTTTTATACTTGTGTTCTGCCACCCTTCTCCTGCTGTTACTACCGTCCGTCTGGTTTGCAAAGAGCTCAAAGTCTAAAGCTTGTACAGTCTGCCTGGACAATGTCAGCCAAGGGTTTGTCAACTTGCAGCTACTCCAAAGCTGACACGGCAGCCTTCAACCTCTGAACCCTACATCCCCCAAGCCCTCCACCCTGATACTGTTGCAAGGATGAAAGATGTAGCCCAGCAAAGACGGGACCCTGACAAAAGCCTTAAGTTGTGAGAAACACTGTATCCAAGAACCCTATGTGTGCCAAAACATCCCATGACCTCAATTACCTCCAAAATGAATCTACATCTTGGACTGGGCCTGGCCGTGCCTGGCCATCACATGCAGGATCTTGTGTGCAGTGGCCTAGTTCGCCAGTTTGACTTCACGGGTCTAGAGGCGTTGTAGCAGTCGTCGCCAGTGCAGGAGCAGAGCGGCAGCAGCACGACGAGGAGGAGGAGGAGGAGATAGTAGTAATGGCAGAAGCAGTAGGAGGAGGAGTCGTAATAGTAGCAGTGGCAGTAGAAGAAACAGTAGTCGTTGTAATGGCTTGTAGTAGTCTCTGTCCTCCTACTATTGCTACTACAACGAGTACTACTTCTTCTTCTATTACTACTGCTGCAACTAGTACAGCAGCAGCAACGGCAGCCCCAGCAGCAACATTGGGCACCGGAACAGGAATTGTGGTAACAATTGTCGTTAGGATGGTAATTGAAGGTTTAGCTGCTTTAGCTTGGGCGTTGGTCATTATCAGAGCTTTGAAGAAAGCGCCTACGGGTCAAAGGAGAACATGAGCGACAACATCTTCTGACAGTAATCCAAGTTCATTTGCAAAATCAGCCATCAATTAAACATGATGGTATGGTTGATTGTTGAAAGGATGAAGGTTGGTCCGGGGAACCGTAAGGTTCCAGCATCAGCTGCTATGCCAGGGTTTAGGGTTTAGAGGTCTTATTGGTTTACATAGGGATAGCGGAAAATGAAATGGAAACTACTATAATGGGTTATATAGGGATAATGGAAAATACAATGGAAACTACTATAATGGGTTATATAGGGATAATGGAAAATACAATTGAAACTAC